ATTTTATTTATTCATTTGAGATACAGAGAGAGAAAGAGAGCATGAGCAGGGAGAGAGGCAGAGGGAGAGGGAGAAGCAGGCTCCCTGCTGAGCCAGGAGCCCGATGTGGGGCTCAATCCCAGGACCCTGGGATCATGACCTGAGCCGAAGGCAGACACTTAACCATCTAAGCCACACAGGCGCCCATAAATAAAATCTTTAAAAAGAAAATTATAAACTGGAAGGCTGGACTATTCCCTATGAGCTGCAACATTCCTGGTATTTCTAAGTCAGGATATCTGTGCTGAGCTTCTGATACCACCTGGGCCATCCCTGGCCCTGGAAACATCCTCTATTTTGCACACTGTTCACATGCTGACTTCTGGCTTATCCTTCCCATAGCCAGGACACGAGGATGACAGCAGGACACTTTCAGAAAGGCCAATCTGAACAAAAACCAAAGTGTATCTGAGGACAGCCTCCATCTGTAGGGGTGAAGGGTCCATTACTATGATCACTCCCTTGCAGATATCTGCGGCCGAACTCCCTTCTCCCTCCACAGCGCACAACCTGATGAACACCCTTGGTTGCACCCAGCTCTCCACCTTCTGCATCTGCACCTCAGTCACTTGATGGGACTACCACAAAGTCACAAAATGGGCATCTGGTTACACCCCCAATGCACAAGTTTGGACCTCAGCAACCATGCCATTTCTCCCATTTACTGAACCACTGGACACATACTCCTTCACCCTCACCTTCCCGTCAAATCTATGAACTCACCACCAGCAACTGTATGGTCTTCTCTTTCCTTCCTCTTTATAGTGGAAGAAAGGCCCCCCTCCCATCAGAGGCCAAAACATCTTCTGTGGCCATGGATCTCATCTCCCATCTTCTGGAGTTCACGATGAGGTAGTGACTCCTAAACATCCAGCTCCAGCCCAGTCCTCCCTGCTGAACGCCAGGCTTGTCATCCACCTGCCCAGCTGCCATCTGCTCTTCAGGGCTTCATGGGTAAGACAAACACGGCAAAATAAGACTCTCAATTTTTCCACAAACCTCTTCCTCTCTCATTGTTCGCCATCCACATGGAAGCCGCTCTCGGTTCCCCTCCCCCTCACCACCTCGGCCTCAAACCTTCTCCATCAGCAAGCCCTATCAGTTGTGAAGTCATTCATGTCACCACCACGTCCTGCCTAGATGACCGCAACAGCCTCAGAATGCAGCGGTCTGTTTCCACCTTTGCCCCCTGACAGACTAAAGCCCTTGACAGCTTCCGACCCTTGAACTGCTCCCCACTGTGCCAAGAACAGATTCCAGTCCCTACAATGGCAACAAGGCCCTGCATGATCCGGCTCCTGCTCATGAGGCTTCAGCCACCTATCTTTTAGTAGTTCCTAAACACCCCAAGCTCTTAGCACTCTCAACTTAGCACCTGCTGTTCCCCCTATCCAAGCACTCTTGGCTGGCACCTTGTTCAGATTTCAGCTTACATGACATCTCAAGGGACCATCCCAGAATATTCTCTGCAGAGCAGTACACGTACCTCCCCACAGTGAGCATGAGCAGCTCCTTGAAACTAAGACAGAGACCAGAATAAAGGGGGCCAGATTCAAAAAGAAGCCTCTTGTTAGTCCCTCCACTAAAACTAACTGTGGGAGTCAGCATAAGGGTTAATGGAGAGGTTAGCTGAGAAGTCACTAGAAATATGCCTCACCCTCACCTTACTTTACCAGTTCAGGAAGAGATTTAGTTCCCCTTTAGACTTTTCAACAAAGTTGAAAATGACAGGAAAATGGGACAGGGAGGCCACAACCCAACCAGGGTTGGTCCCAGCTGCCAAAGTATGCTCTCAAGAAACCTGAAGGAGAGCCCCATTGCCCCCACCTTGCTCTTCATCTCCCATGTCCTTTACTGATCCCTTGTCCTCTAAGCTTAACCTCAAGCTTTCCTCAAATCCCACTCCGTCCTGGATTGCTTTTCATCTTGACTCAGGCAACTCATCTAGTTATTAAACTGGTAACTTTCAAACTTCTACCTTTAGTCATACTCAACAGCTGGGTGCTAGGGAATAATACAAAAATGAGTAAGTCATTATCCCTGCCTTGCAGCCTCCCATCAGATCACTCAAGGAAAACCTAAACAATAACTATAATGCAAGGCATACATGCCGCATGACATGAGTGATAACAGAAAATTCTAGGAATCGCTTTCCACTTTGTTGAGGATGGCTTCACAGGTGGCTTTGAAGCAAGGCACTGTAGGATAAGGCAGACAAGATAAAATAAGATGGGCTGGGAGTGATCTGAGAGATCACCCAGCCCCATACCACTTCTATGTAACAATTCTAAGATGCTAAGATTAGAGTGCACTTCGTGAGCTGGGGATGAGGCAACCAGTTAGCAAGTTTCATCTGACATTGTGAAGTACACTGCATTGTCAGAAGTGCAAGGGGTGGGGAGAAAAAAATGTTTTAGAATCTAGAGGATATGAAAGATGTTCGCAATCGGGGGTGGAAGCGGGAAACATTTGCCTTATTTTCTAGATTTCTCTAATGAGCCATGTAAGGCTTTTATAATAAAAAAGAATAAACTCGTTAGGAAACTTTATTACGGGGCGTCTGGGTGGCTCAGTCGTTGAACGTCTGCCTTCGGCTCAGGTCATGATCCCGGGGTCCTGGGATTGAGCCCCGCATCGGGCTCCCTGCTCGGCGGGAGGCCTGCTTCTCCCTCACCCACTCCCCCTGCTTGTGTTCCCTCTCTCACTGTGTCTCTCTCTATCAAATAAAGAAATAAAATCTTTAAAAAAATATATTAAAATTAAAATTAAAAAAAAAAAAAAGAAAGAAAGAAACTTCACTAGCCAGCAGCAGTCTATGACCAGCAGATGCCATCCTTCTCTCCCCCATAAGGTACCTGGTGCTATTATGTCCAACCCCTTAAGTTTAGGCAGTACATGCTGATGATTTCAAGTTTCTCAAAGGACAATTCTCTGGCATGAGCAGCCTCCAGCAGTGATGAGAAAGCAAACCCACCATGTAAACGACGACCATCCTCCAAGCCAGATGACCAATCCCAGTTCCCAGACCTGACCCTGCCACTACTCACCCTGCACATCGCAGGTCCTAGCCTCATACGTTCTCACCACCGTGTCCCCCATGTCAACAAGACAGGAGCTTCTATCCCTGTGTAGGACTGGAAGATCTCTACATCTTCCTTTACTAACTAGGTCTTGTGGAAGAACAGATTGCAACACACGTATTCTTAACTTCAAAAATATAAAGGAGCCTTTACCCTGAATCACTGGTTCCAGGCTGGAGCCCCTGACCGAATACTGCAGCGTCTGAGCAATTTTCAAAGCAACAAGAAGCTCTTCACAGCACAGACTCAGTATCACTCACTGTGGGAATGCTACTTATACCCTAATGACTGCATCTTCACAACAGCAAACCCAAAGGCATGTGGCCACAGGGAGGGAGGTCATCGGGTGCTGGGGGGTGGAGAGGTCTGTGTGTCCTGGGGGAGGGAGACACTGCAGAGCTACCTGTACATGTGTCCTCAGAGATGCGAGCCCTCCGCACCACACTCTTAAATAGTTCGTGTTCTTCCAATCTAGCGGCCCATTTCTGCCACTCTCCCCTGGTCTATGTCCCATCCTGCACCTGGCAAACAAGTGAGCAGCATACATGCCATCAGTCTGGGAAGTCAGAGAGCATCAGGAGCCCCCAGGTGGATTTAAGCCTGGGGTTTTGTTCCAGCTCTGCCACCACAGGTAGCAGTGGTTGTCGGGACAAGTCACTCAGCCCTGTGGAACCCACTCTCCTTCTGTAAAAGGAGTGGTTCTCCTATTATAATCAAAGCAATTCCCCACGACTGCAGGGCAGCGGTAGAGATGAGATCTGAGAGACAGAAGGCAGGACCGAGACAAGCCCCCTCCCTTTGCCCAACTGCTTTACGTGATCAGCCTCATTTAAAACGCCATCTAAAGACAGACTTCTAAAACAAAGCCGGAGCCTCTGACAATCATCTAATCCAGGCTCATCCCCAGACTCAACCATCCCAGGACCAAGCTAACATTTACAGAGCACCTTCTAGGTAGCAAGCATTTTAAAGATCTTTAGCCTTCCACACCAACTGTAGCAGACGGGTATGAGTTCCATGTTGACAGTGGGGAAGCTAAGGCTCAGACTGGTGAAATGACTTACCCACAATCTCAAAGTGAGGAAAGGGAGGTTTGGGGATTTGAGCCCAACTATTTATGCCTCCAAAGCCCTTGTTCTTTCTTCTTTACCTCACTGCCTTTCACACAGTCTTAACTCCACCTCTTGAAGTGCTTCAAGTTCCCCCACACCTATGTCATAAAGAGTCAAAAGTACTCCTTACCAGAAACCGTTGGTACCTATGGTCTTCCACTCACAGACTTAAATGGGGAGGAAGTGATGATGTGGATACATGACACAAAGCTTCCTCCCAGGCTTCTATTTTCCATTAATCCCGTTCATGCCTTTAATGGCATCTCTTAGGGTTTCTAGAGCTTGCAAGGTCTCTCTTCTGTCTCCCTCTTTCACCTTTTCCAGCTTACACTTCCATGCAGACTAAATTAAAGGCCTGGTACTTTAAATCTAGCTGTGGCCAATGGCAGATGAAAGTACACTTCTCGGTCTTGTTTTTCTTCCAAACAGCCCATAACAAATGGCCTCATGTACGTGCCCAGCTCTCTGTGCCCCTACCCCACTCACACACTCACCTCCCAACCCTGGATCCCCTTCTTAAATTATACACTTTGCACTCTATCTCTGGGTGAGCTCCAGGGGGTGGAAGGAGAGAGGGTAAGGGTAAAGAGTAGGAAGCAGAGAATCTAAATGGAAAGATTACGGAACACCCCCCGCCCTTACACCCCCTCCCTCTGGGGTCTCTAAAGCACGTACAAACCTGACACATGAGTGATGGTTAAAAAAATTTGGGTTTTATTGTTTTTGCTAAACAATACTAAAAAAAAAAATTTCATTTTGAAGGCAGGGCTTGAATTATTTAATTTTGATCCATTTATTTAATTAAAAAAAAAAAAGGAAGGGGAAAGAGATCATGGCCAAAAAGATAGTAGTTAACCCCCACCCCACCCCCAAAGCTCTAGCCAGTCACATGAGCATCACCCACTTCCCACTAGGTGCCTGATATTCAGCTGGTGGCACACTCTGCCCCACTGGACTGCCCTGAAGGCACAGGGGCACCGCGTGCCAGTTTTCGCGCTCAGGTTAGTCAAACCAGACAAACTGGTGGGCTAAAGTCCAGAAGTTCTCTCCAGGTTTTCTGCCCATCGGCTGAGCACATACAAACTATCGTAAGCTTGTAAAATTTAAGGGGGGTGGGGAAGGGCATAAAAGCAGGAGGTTGGTGGGAGAAGAGAAACTATAGGTCACCCAAGCTTTCTCCTGGGCTAGTGGCTCTGGACACAGACTTCGAGAGACCGGGAGATGTGGGCTCCAGGTTTCTTATGGAAGAAAATCATCCTTCGAAGAGAAGCTGAGACGTGCCATGCAAAAGAGTTCTTCCTGCAGAGGGCACAGGAGACAGGGCAGCGGACTCTCCCATCTAGGAGATGGGAGAGTGGTGAGGAAGTTCTTCTAGTACCATGAAGTAAGACAAAAGGCAGAGGGAGAATCCTGAGGTTCTGGCCCAATGTGAGACTGGTACACACACACACAGTTAAAGACTAAAAAGCCATCAGGAACCCTCACAGCTGAATCCCACCTGCAAACACTGGCTCTAGAAAGTGCTGCAGAAGATTCTTGCTGCGAACCAAGTCAAGTTAGTTGCCTGGCTATAGGTGGTGGGGAGGGTAATACGTTTTTATTTTCGAAGGGATGAGGTGGGAAGAGCGGCCATGATCTAGTAAAAAGAGACCTGCAAGAAGCAGAAAATATTTAGAGAACATTTTAATATATATTTTCATATATATATTTAAAGTTAAGAAAAATAAAACTAATTCAAGCCATGCCCTGTGCAAAAAAAGAAAAAAAAAAGAGAAAAAAAAAAGACAAATTTAAAGTGAGACCTGTCTGCTGCTCTAGTCTCAACTTAAGTATCACAGTCAGCTTGTTACTTTTATTTTGGAAGAGAAGATGTAAAAGTTTCTTTCGATCACTCAGAAGGCAAGTGTAGCCACTTATAAAAACAGAATGGCAGGGACAGACTAGGAAAGTCAGAGGTGAAAGGGCAGAGCAGGAAAGGAATTTTCAAAAATAAAATTAACAAGGTGACTGTTCCAGAAGGGGGCTGTGAAAAGGACATGGTGGACCAAAGTCTGTTAGTCAAGTAATGATTCAACTTTTAAATTATTCTCTTGTTCTTTTTTGTTGGGTGTTTTGTTTGTTCAAGTCTAAGATTTGGAAATGCTGACCCTTTGTTAACAAGAGCCAACAGGAAATATAGGATCCCTTCCCTCCCCCGGCCTGCCTCCGCCGAAGCCACCACCACCGCCTCGTTGGCTGGATGCTGGAAGAGTCCTCCGTGTGTGTGGACTCAGGATGACAGGGCAGCCTCCTTCTGTGGTTGCTGGGCTTGTGAACGCTGCAGTATCTTTTGGCTTTCCACGTCTCTAAAATGTTTTTCAACCTGAAAGAGACCAGTTCAGCCTAGGTCAGAACAGGAGATGGGCACCAAGGCCTCCCAAACAGTTCATGCCAGGCCTCGGCAGCCGGTCCTGGCTGTCCAGCTCAGGGACCACTCAGGCACCAGAAGGCCCTTGCTATCTGTGGGCCTTCCTGGCCGAAGGTAGGCAGCGGCCTCTTGTTTCAACCGCATGTGCTGCACCTTCAGCTAAGACTGTCTAAAAGAAAGTGAACCGATAAGCTAAAACACAGTGTGAAAGGAGATTTTTTGATCCCAACTCCCACTCCCCTCTTCACGTAAGTGCAGAACGAAAAGCTGACAGGGAATTAATAGTATTAGACTTTTTATATCCAGTAATGCTCAGAATGTTTTTACAAATGCGGCAACTCAATCGAGACAGTCACATGACATATGCAGGGTCAGAGACGCCAACAGCAACTGATTTATACCAACCAGCCCTTCCTGAGAAGAACCCAGCCTGGGATGAGAGGAACTGCTCAGGCGCAATACCATGGAATGGTCTGGCTAATTCCAAAAAGCCACACTGCCAAGGACACGGGGCTGCCCACTCACTTTATTGCACACTGCCCAGTGGGTTCCAGCCCCACAGAAGTGGCCAAGCCAGAGCCGCAGAGCACTGCGCGCAGGGGCCGGGGGGCTAGGCAGGGCTGCTCTCGGGCTGGCAGGTCAGAGCAGGCAGGGATTGCAGCACAAGGTCCTGCCCTGAGGCTGGAAGGGTGAAGGCCAAGGAATCATCCTCTCTCTCAAGGTTCATGGCTCCTTTACTTACTATTTTGCGTACATGGCTCAGTGCACTCCCCTCTTTGCCTTTACAGTTTTCCACTTGATATGGGGGTGTAATAACAACTTCTTCCATGACTACGATGTTTTTTTCTTGCCATTTACAGTCTTTAATGCTGGAAGGAGAAGAGAGCAGGTGAAAGTTGCCTCTTGCAGGCATCCCAACACCTCCTGCCTGATGAATAAATAACTCCAGAAAACTGACCCCAACTTCTCAGCTCACAGCTCAGCCAGTAACTAGATGCTAGCAGCCCATAGGGTGCAGTAGCCAAGAAACACCTCCTGGACACCACTGGCCAGGAAAAGCAATGACATGATGCACATTCATTCCAAGGAGAGCCCAGAAGACTTACTCTGAAGCATTAGGGACCTGGAAAACCATAGAAAACTTCGTGGCAGCCTCAGAAGTCCAATCCAAATTGAATTCAAACAAACATCTAGGCTCATCAACTTAAGTAGCAGCCTAGGGCAGAGGCTGGCAAACCTTTTCTATAAAGAGTCAGACAGTAAGTATTTGAGGCTGTGAGGGCCATACAATTTCTGTCACAACTACTGAACTCTGCTGCTGTACCTACTACAAAAGCAACCCCAGATGATACATAAATGAGCTGATCTGGCTGGAGTTTGCCAACCTTTAACCTAGGGGGGAATAGCACCTTTAAAAAGACAGGAAAAGAAACTCCATCTTACTGTGATCTGCACTCTGCCCCCCACCTCCCGAAATGGAAACTGCTCCTCAAACTGGACCCTCTCAATTATCAGACAGCTGGGCACTTGCCAGACTGCGAAAACCCATTCTAGGTCACACCTGGGGAAACGCAGGGCAGCCGATATTCCTCAGAGCCCCTTCACATACCTGTAACTGCTCAGACACTCACACCACGGCCTCCAGCAGCTCTGATGCCAGCTGCCATCTGTGCACCAGACCCAGGCGGCTACACAGGGCAACAGAAGGCAGCGGGGGGGGAGGGGGTGCCAAATGTTTCCGTTTTTCAGCAGCTAGGGAAGCTAGTGGAGGGTCAAATGACTTCTGCTGTGACAAAATGTCTTTTCGGAGGTGGTAATAAGGTGGCCTTCTGCTCTCCCTAACTCCCTACGTACACCCCAATGTACAATTAATTAGAAAGAGACAGAGAGACACCACCTTCCCCTTAGTAAAACTGCATCAGCTTCTGGAGAAAGGTACAACAAGATCAAAATAACGAAAGAGAAAGAAGCCACGAATTCTAAATTCTTGAATACCAGTTCTGAAAGGGATCTTTAGGATTATCTAATCCCAAACCAACTTTTACACATGAAGAACCTGAAGGCCAGAGAAGACAACTTGTCCACGATCACACCATTCTCCTGTACGAGAAAGGCAACAGACACCCACATCCCTGGACACCGAGGTGCTGTCGACACACTAACCAGCATCTCTGCTGACTTTCAGGAACACGACTATCCGAAAGCTGGCTACCACACAGCACAGCCAGGCAGCATCGCCCCCGGGACAAGGGACCCCTATGCTCCCCCGACTCACGTCTTGTGTATGGTCTGGAAGAGCTGCTGGCCCTCTAGGGAAACACCAGCGCTGATTGCATAGGCCTGGCTCAGCTTCTCCTCCTTCTCTGTCCGTGCTTTGCTGGCAAGCTAGGGTGGGGGAGAGGAAAGAGACTCAGAAAAGCATTCACCTTCATTCTTCCCAACAGTCAGGACCTGTTGAGGAAAGGAGGCTGGAAAAGACTGGTTTGGTAGATTCAGTTTTCTCAGAGTCCAAAAGTGAAACAAACACACACCCAAGATGCCTGAGTAGTTACTGCTATGGTGGCAAACATTCCTTCCATCCAGGACTTACTGAGTGCCCACCAGGTACGAGACATGCACTGGGCTAAGCTAGAGATACAGCACTGAAGTGGGGACCAGACAGAGACCACAAACAAAAACATAGAGTAACTTCAGACGGTGCCAAGGAGCTAGGAAGAAAATAAAGCAGAGCAATGTTACACGGTGGGACTGGGAAGTGACGGTCAAAAAAAAGATAACACACATGTGTATGAAAGGAGAAAATTAAGAATTTTTATCAGCCACTGCTAGAGTCTCGGGTTTAGAAATTAATGTCTATGACATCTTCAGAAACCAGAATTTGAGGTTCTAAAGACTACCTTTCTGGTACCACTATCTGTGCTCACATGGGGAGCCAAAACTCAAGTACACCTAACACATGGATACAGTCCACCTTCAACTTGAGCTACCGCTATCCTGCTCTTTAGAAAATGGAACGGTCTGCATTCTACTTTACGTTAGTTCCTTATCTGCCCTCTAGTGGAATGCTCACAAGCTGATCAAAAGAAATTCTAATAAAATCTAGTACAGTAGTTCCCCACCCCCCCTTATCCAGGGTCAACCTTGGTCTGGAAACAGATGATCCTCCTCCTGACATATCATCAGGTCAGGTCAACAGTAACCTAATGCTACATCACATCACCTACATCATTCACCTCACTTCATCTCATCACGTAGGCATCTTATCACCTCACATCAGCACAAGAAGGGTGAGTAAAAACAATACAATGAGGTATTTTGAGAGAGAGAGACCATATTCACGTAACTGCTATTACAACATATCGTTATAATTATTCTATATTATTAACAGTTATTGTTAATCTTTATCCTGACTAATTATAAGTTAAACTTTATCATAGTTATGTATGTACAGAAAAAAAAAAAACCTAGTATATATGGGGCTCAGTACTATTCATGGTTTCAGGCATCCTCCAGGGTCTTGGACTGCACACCCTGCAGATAAGGGGAGACTACTGTACCGTAGTCTACTAAAATCCAGTAAATCCCTCCCAACAGGGGTGGGTTGCCCTGTCAACCCCTACTGCCCCTCTAATACACTTTTAGTCCCCACCCTACAGTATTAGTTGCTAGAGACTCCAGAAGTACAAATTTGTCTAAGTGTAAAGCAAAACAAATATGCTGGACAAGACGCTTAAAATGAAAAGGCAGAAAATGCGTCTGAAAGTCAAACAAATAATTTGGAGATTGTTCAGGCCCAAGAACACAAACAGCTTAGTATACTGATGCTGCAGCTAGCACACTAAAGACATATGCACAGACACACAAGTGAGAATACATAATTTGTCTCCAAACAACAGCTCCTTAAAATAGGGAGATCATACCTCACACACATCCCCAAAGTACCTAGATATTTGGAATTCTTAAACATTTCCATTCTGCTTTAACAATGACCCTTCAAACCATAGACCAAATACAGTTTTAGAGGCAACGTGTCTAACTGTTAGCAAAACAAAGCACTTTATTAAGGCACAGGTTTGACTATCAAGAAGAGAAAAAACGACCTTCAATTGGGTTATGGGGAGTCCTGCCTCTGAGTTTCAAAGATCATTTGAGGGGCGAGGGGTGTGAACACAGAAGAGAGAGGTCACGCATGCTGTCATTTCAGTGTCCCTAGGGGAAAGAGGAAAGAAAGGCCAGAACTCTGCAGTGATTTGAAGCTGGAGCTCCTTTTTCACATGGTCCCCAGTACATGGAGAGAAGACAAATACAGCAGCACTAAATAATGTTTCAAGCCTGGTCCTGCCATTCTGGCCCCACCAGGCTGGAATTCGAGAGAGAAATAAACGCACATGGCTGACAGTATTCCCCTGAGCCTCAGCAATCCCAACTGCAGTAAGAAAGCACTCAGTTTCTATGGCAAGAGAACCACTGGTGGTATATTTTAAGCAGCAAAAAGCAAAACTTCGTCACCAAGAAAACCCTGATAACAAGGAGTTTCCTTGAGTCTCACTTTCCAAACAACCCTGTAGAAAATATGAAGTCTCCAAGGAAAGGAGGAAAAACCAGGGGGCAACAGAGCTCCCCTGGATTAACCACGCTCTTGCAGGGCTCCTGCAGAATGCAAGTGACCAGGCACAGGTTTACTGTACCCCATGAACAGGCATAAGGGTCTCACTTGGAGGTCTTTTTAAAAAAGTTTATCCCTGGGCGCCTGGGTGGCTCAGTTGGTTAAGCGACTGCCTTAGACTCAGGTCATGATCCTGGAGTCCCGGGATCGAGTCCCGAGTCGGGCTCCCTGCTCATCAGTGAGTCTGCTTCTCCCTCGGACCCTCCCCCCTCTCCTGCTCTATCTCATTCTCTCTCTCAAATAAATAAAATCTTTAAAAAAAAAAAAAAGTTTATGCCCAGGTGGCTCAGTGGGTTAAGCGGCTGCCCTGGCTCAGGTCATGATCCCAGGGTCCTGGGATAGAGCCCCACATCAGGCTCCCTTGCCTCAGCGGGGAGCCTGCTTCTCTCTCTCCCTCTGCTCCTCCCCCCTCCAAGTTCTCTATCACTCGCTCTGCTCTCTCTCAAATAAATAAAGAAAAATTTTAAAAAAATAAAATGTTTATCCCTGAAAACCAAAAACATCTCCTGGTGTTGGGTCAGACAAAGCTGCTTCTATAAAGCTTGTGTTGACTAGATAATATGGGATACCCACAGCAAAATACCCTTGTCACCTACATAGTAGATTAAAAACGTGAACATCACCCATTCAGTAAGAGAGGAATGGCTCAGGGAAACCAGGCACCTATGCAGAATGTTTAAGATGGAACTGACAAATTTAAGCTAGAAGAGGAAAAAAGGCTGGGAGAGGAGTCACTTTTGAATTTTTGCCAGAGGCAAAATAAAATGCGTATAAATCTCAGCCAGAAGTGATTCCTTTGGACAGCCTGAGTAACAGCAACACAACAGTTAGAGAACAAGGAGTTCAAAGTACACTTCTAGCCCCCCAAAATACCAGTTGTACAATCCCCTCTAAAGGCTCTGAAAGCAAAGGAGAATAGACTAGATGATTCTCCATTTCAACTCATAGTGCACAACAGGTCCCAAATGCTAAATGATAAAGTGCCTTAGAGGGGCACCTGTGTGGCTCAGGTGGTTAAGCGTCTGACTCTTGGTTTCAACTCTTGGTTTCGGCTCAGGTTGTGATCTCAGGGTCGTCGTGAGATCGAGCCCTGCGGCAGGCTCCACGCTAAGTGCAAAATCCACTTGTCCCTCTCCCTGCCCTTCATCACCCCCTCTCTCTCTCAAATAAATAAAATCTTTACCAACAGGGGGAAAAAAAAGAGCCTTAGAAAAGTCAACAGAAATCAGAGTAAACTGACTGTATTTCAATTTGCCCCAATATCCTCAATTACTGTACCTGTACCTGCAATTGTGCTTTGCGGAATCTGGGCGCAGTGCAAACCCTGAAACCTCCAGCTGTCAGTTTATGAACTGTATTTTCATGGCAATCTGAAAAATGTTTAAATCTGATATTCAGCCAACTAGATCTGCTTTCACCAGGAACTTGTACAAAAGGGGTGAATTTCTCCCACAGAGGAGTCTATCAAATAAGCACAAGGAAGGCTGCCCTCACAAAAGGAATCTAGAAGTCTTCTCTCAAAACTGGGGGCAAGATTACCTTGCTCTTTTTAGGCATGTTCCTGAAAACTCATAAAAAAGTAAATAAGCCTCCTTTTGTAAAGCAAATGACTATCACTCTACCCTCAACTTAGCAGTTATACAGATTGAAATCTCCCACCTCATGTTTTTTGTAAACTCATGCATATGTATAAATGGTCCAGTTATTCCAAGAGAGTAAGTTCAGAGTTATTGTCAAACCACTAGAGGGAACCAATAAAAGCCGCCCTCAGTAGAGGTGTTGGGTGTGCCTTTTAAGCTTGGGAGGATTACCAGGATTGCAATTTTTTAAATTCAATGACTACCACCATACTGCATCTATTTTCAATGCAAACATGCTAGCTGCTCGCCTCTTCCAACCAAAACTGAAGCACTAACTGGTTAGAATCTCAAAGAATATTCAAGACACCACTTTACAAAGTGAAGTTGTCTGAACAAGACAACCTGTGCTTACCTGCCTCTCCTTTTATTTTGTATGAAACCCAGTGAAAACAGCTCTTCCTGTCTACTAACCAGTGCTTCCTCCCGTGGCCATTTTATATATAGCAACTTGATGTGGGCAACGGAGAAGAGTACACGAACTTGATACCAAAGCACATCAATATTAAAAGGCATCTAATCATGCCTGCTGTGGGGTAACCCTTGAGTGAGTGAATTAATGCACACACCTCTCCTCCTACACTCAGTGACACGGAGAAAAAGCAGCAGCCACAACAACAAAACCCAAGCGATACGCACTTCATCTTGTTACTGAGTCACCAGCTGGGCCATCTTAGTCCCACACACCCAGACCAGGGAGGCACAGGTGCTGTGGGGAATCCAGAGGGATTCCAACCGCAAGTATGTAACAGGCTGTGACAGCTGAGACAACAACGGAAGCAGAGTCCAAAGAGGAACACGCTGGATGTGACCTACTGACTCCAACGAGCCACTCTGAGTTTGTCTTCTGCGTGCATGCGGGCTGTCCAACCAGCTGCCCTCACAGAGCGGTGAGGAAGCACCGCAGCTGCCGCCCGGGGCCTGCCGCCACTGGCCGCGAGGCCTCTGCTGGAGGCGGAGGGACGGCGGACCACAGCGGCCAAGAACCACCGGCATCCTGAGGGCCCGCACTGGTTTCTGCTGTTTCCATCCTGGGCTGCGCCCTCAGAAAGCCCTCCTTCCTAGCTAGCAACAAGCGGGCT